CATCGCTGATCCCCACCGCCCTTTCGAAGTGGTTACCGACGCAAGTGACATCGCCATCGGAGCTGTACTGTTACAGGACTTCGGCAATGGCCTCCAACCCATCGCCTACGAATCACGCAAACTACATCCGCCTGAGCGAAATTACCCGATACACGACCGCGAAATGCTCGCGATCGTGCATGCCTTCAAAGTTTGGCGCTGCTACTTGACCGGCGCAGACGTGACAGTACGGACAGACCACCGATCTCTACAGTACCTCCGCGCACAGCCCCACCTCAACCCACGACAGATTCGATGGCTCGATTTCCTCGAGTCGAATTTTCACTATACGGTCACATACAAAAAAGGAGCATCGAATATCGCCGACGCACTGACCCGCCCCACTGCCCAGATCCACGCGATACTACTCGCCCAGACCAGCCCACTGCTGACAGGCCTATTTACCCACGGATATCAAACAGACCCGTTCTTTACAGGAGGCAACTCACAGCAATTCGCAGCGGCAAAAGGAGTCTATTACGTAAAAACTGGAACCGACCGCATCTGGGTACCGGGATACACACTATTGTGGGAACTACTGTTACAGGAAGCACACGACGGAGTTACCTCGGGACATTTCGGGGTAGAAAAAACACGGCAGCAGCTGCAGCGGTACTACTACTGGCCAGAAATGTTGACCGATGTGCAACGACACGTGGCATCGTGTCCCACTTGCCAGCTCATGAAGTCAAGCAGGAAGCGACCAGCAGGACAATTACAACCCATCCTGCCTCCAGAGCGTGCTTGGCAGCAGGTGACGATGGACTTCGTCACAGGGTTACCAGCTGGGGCGAGTGGGAATGACGCGATCCTGGTCGTCATCGATCGACTAACGAAAATGGCCCATTTCGCAGCATGCAGGAAATCCATCACAGCCGAAGAAACCGCCCGACTCTTCATCTCCACCGTCGTACGACTGCACGGAATACCCGCGTCGATCATCAGCGACAGGGACACGAAATTTACCAGCAACTTCTGGCGGAACCTGTGGCAGCAGTTCGGCACGCGCTTACAGTTCAGTTCATCCTATCACCCCGAAACTGACGGACAGACGGAACAGACAAATCAGACCATGGAGCAGTTGATACGAGCCACGTGCGACGACCCGAATACGTGGGAACAGCAGCTGCCACTCATCGAGTTCGCATACAATAACGCACCATCAGCCACGACGCAACAGTCGCCGTTTTATTTAAATTACGGACAGGACCCAACAGTACCCATGACACCGAATCCCGACAACCCCGTCCCACGAGCACAACAGTTCGCCGAGATTCTGCAAGCAGCACGGACCAGGGCAGCAGAAGCAATCAAAAAATCAAACATCATCGCTAAACGCAACGCCGATCGACATCGCAGACCCGTTACTTATCAGCCCGACGACCTCGTTTTACTCGACACTCAGAACCTTCGCCTGCCCATCACTCCAAAACTTCGCCCCCGATATTGTGGGCCATTTCGCATCAGCCACATGATCACACCCGTCACCGCCCACCTCCTCCTCCCTGCTGACTGGTATGTCAGCCCGTCATTCCACGTCAGCCTACTTCGCCCTTACATCCCATCCACGAGCCAACTGCCACGAAATCGCCCAGCCAGCATGACACGTCCCCCAACCGAACCACTCATCACCCCTGAAAAAATCCTCAGCCACCGAGTCCGCGACCCTCGGGGAGCCCGAAGGATCGAGTTCCTAATTCGCTGGAAGGACCGAACGCCCACAGAAGACAACTGGGTCCCCCTGGATAAAATTGAGAACCACCCTGTCTTCGCCGAGTATCTGCGAAGCCGAAATTTCCGCGACGTCCATGCGCTCTCGTAAGAGGGGCCTCCTTGGGGAGGGGGGTAGTGTAAGGAAATTCCCTTTTCCTTACTTTGCGTCCCTGCTCAGCGCGTACGTCACTGTAGCACCTCAGTCAGCACCGTTACCACTCGCGACCATCGCATCATTCATCATCCCGCCCTTTTCGCACATCGCATCCCGACCTCACGGCTCGGCTGGTAACCCGCGCTTCGGGCCTACGCTTCGACATTTTCCCAACCTCAGTCCCAGGCTCGACGCGCGACAACCACAGTCCATTACCGTTACCACTATTGTTTCGCTATATAATCCTTCGCTCATGCCTTCGCTCATTGTACTTTTGTTTCGACAGTGCAATTCTCGTTCGTTCAATCAATTGCACTCGTAACAATATCATAGCGCAGGTGGACGACAAATCCAGGGAATGAAATTCGCAACATCTTGTTCAGAAAGAAGTTCAGAACCTTGAAAACAAATACTGATATATTCTATGAGGTTTGATGTGTAATGAAATTCGAAACATCTTGTTCTACACCAGTACTCCTTCATAGCGTCACCCCTATTGCGTAACCACTAAACGACCTAGCATCGGCGCATGTTCGGGGAACTGGCGGGAAATGTCAGTCTGGTACTTTGTGTCAGACAGACTCAAATCATCAGCTGAGCTCACATATACTGTAATCAACAGCATAGCCATGAGTCCATCTCCTAACTACAAGTCAGAAACTCCTTATATGACATTTGCGAGGCTACCAAAAGCAGGTCTCGACATTGGACGTGCACTTACCTACTAGGCTACTCGATGCACAAGACCATTGAGTATTCGTATAACGTGGATTTCATAGTGACGCTACAGATTGCCACGCAGCAGTAAGGTCAGAGTTGATTGCGGTTTACACCATTGCGGTTTCGAAATCTATTCGGAGCAAGCTTGCTTCGGTCCACCCAGAACGCGCTTCGGAATGCGATTCATTCCGCGGGCCTACCTACTATGATTGAAGGTCTTCTTACTAAGCGACGAACTTAGGAGATTTTTCAGGACACTCAAAAGCTACTACTCGGACATTGGAAGTCCTCTTCCTAACCCAGCCTTGTTCCTAAATTAGTCTCCGTCCTAAGCTATGAACTTCTTCAGGCGGAAAGCGCAGGTTCAGCCGGCACCGGACCGCGAGCCCCAGAATCCGTCACCTGCCGGGAAACCCGGCGCAATTGTCGGCACTGAGCGGTCCGATGGCGGCGCAAGCGGCGGCGAGAAGCTCGCCGCGATTGGCGGCGCGACGGACGGCGTGGTTCGCACTGTGTCGAGCGATTGGATGGGCCGGCCGGACCTCAAGGGGGAAGAGTAAGGCGCTTCGGGAAAGGTAGTAGTTAATAGGCTGGTCGAAACGATTACTAGGTCTCACTTTTTCTTTCTCCTTCCCCTGACTCGCCTCCCCCCCATTCTCCCCCCTCCCCTTCCCTTCCTGCAGGCACGTGCATATCCACGTGCCGGGGACGCTCGGGGTCTTGGCTCGGCCCAATGCTACCCTGGCGGAGATCTGGGAGGCTCGGCCGGACCTGCTAGGCTCGGGGCGGCGGTATTTCCTGACCACGCGGCTTCGGGGGGAGACGGGGGGGGGCAAGGGGGGCGCGGGGGCCCGCGGAGGCGGAGCGGGTGGGGTGGAGCGCGCGAGTGCTAAGGTTGAGGTGCTGTTTCGGGGGGGAGACAGACTGAGGGCGGGTCTGAGGTACCGCGCGCACTGCTGGCTGGGTGAGTGGTGGTGCTGTAAGGGGGAATAAGCAGATAAATGCGGATGTGGCAGTGGGCTGATGGGGGGGAGAGGCTGAGGGCGGGGCTGAGATACCGCGCACACTGCCGGCTGGGTGGGTGAGTGGTCGGGCGGGGAGAGGGGAATACGATGATGTGTGGGGCTGTGGATGAGTGCGAGTGGGTTGATGGGGGACATAGGCTGAGAGCGGGGCTGAGGTACCGCGCGCACTGCTGGTTGGGTGCGTGGTGGTGCGGTAAGGGGGAATAAGCGGTTAGATGGGATGTGGCAGTGGGCTGATGGGAGGAGACAGGCGGAGAGCAGGACAGAGATGGGCAGGCGCCCTGCTGGCTGGGTGAGTGGTGGTGGGGCGGTAACGGAATAGGTGTGGGTGTGTAGTGGTGTGTGTTGAGGCTGGGCGGGGGGAAGGTGGAGGTGCTGTTTGGAGGGGGAGACAGGCGGAGAGCGGGGCTGAGATGGGCAGGCGCACTGCTGGCTGAGTGAGTGGTGCGGCGGGGAGGGAGTAAGTCGGAGTGTGTCTCAGATGGGAACCTAAGGACGCGTCACAATTGCAACACCGGGGAGGATCAGATCAAACACTGAAAATGGCAGCATCGCTCTTGAAACAGCCAGTTTCAATCTGCGTGAGCAGTGTCGGCTGCTTTCCCCGAGCCTCTTGGGACACGACCGGAATTGCATGTGGGGGACCTCCATCCGTGCCAACTGTACACCCAGATGCCAGGGCTGCGCATTGCTTTGCTGGCGAGTCATACAATTTCGCCATGCTTGTGACGACGCGCACAATCTCTCGCCCTGTAACCGCATCGACGCTGGTCGACTGTTTGCGACGGCGATCGATTGTGCCTATCACTGGTGGCGCAATTTCGATTCCCACTCTGCCAATCGCACGATCGATGTGGCATTTCAAGCCATCCGATCTCGGCAATCGGAAAGTGCACGATTGTGGCGGCAACATCGGCGGCGTTCAACGAATGTAGACGAAAAAGGGATACACAGCTTCTACGAATTGGCGATGACACTGTAGATTGTGCTCACCGATCCCTCACAGGATCGGTATTGCAATTGTGACGCGTCCTAAGGGGCAGGGCTGTTTCGGGGGGGGGGACACACTGAGAGCGGGGCTGTTGAGTTGACACGAAAATCCCTTTCTCTGCTTCCCATGTTTCAACCCCTTTTGCAGGGCCAGAGCACTCGGGAACAGGAGCAGGAGGAGGAGGGGCAGGGAGGGGCAAGAGGACGGGAGGAGGGGGAGATGAGGGGGAGGGCGCGGAGCAGCTCTCTCTGTCTTCTCACCTCGCATTCGCATCGCTCTCGTGAGTTGGGAGGGGGTGATCTAATCAGGGGTGAGAGTGAGGGGTTGAGAGGGAGGGGGTGATGAGGAGTGGGGAAAGATGAGGGGGTTGAGAGCGCGGAGCAGCACTCGCTGTCTTCTCACCTCGCGTTTGCATTGCTCGCGTGAGTTGGGCGGAGGACCATGGGCGGAGGACCATGGGCGGAGAGAGAGTGGCAGTGATGTTGGGTGGGGGGTTGGATTGGTGAGAGGAGGGAGCGATGAGGGGAAAGGTGCGGAGCAGAAGTCGCTGTCTTCTCGCCTCACATTCGCATTGCTCTTGTGAGTTGGGTGAGGGAGGGACCATGGGTGAGGGACCATGGATGAGGGACCATGGATGAGGGGCCATGGATGAGGGACCATGGATGAGGGACCATGGATGAGGGACCATGGATGAGGGACCATGGATGAGGGACCATGGATGAGGGACCATGGATGAGGGACCATGGATGGTGAGATGGGGAAGATGAGCACTGCTGCACTGTGTTTTCAAATCACTCACACTCATGACCCTCGTTCCCTCCCTCTCTCGTCCCTCCTTCTCTCCTGCTCCCCAGGTTTGCTGGAATAGTGTGTGATGGCCGCGTGGAGGAGGTCCCAGGAGGCACCACGCTGCAGCAGCTGTGGCGGCGGCACCCCACCCTGCAACCAGCACTAATATGCTTGTGCCTCCTTCCCTCCCTCTTCTCCTGCTCCCCAGGTTTGCTGGAATAGTGTGTGATGGCCGCGTGGAGGAGGTCCCAGGAGGCACCACGCTGCAGCAGCTGTGGCGGCGGCACCCCACCCTGCAACCAGCACTAATATGCTTGTGCCTCCTTCCCTCCCTCTTCTCCTGCTCCCCAGGTTTGCTCGCATAGCATGTGACGGCCGTACCGAAGAGGTCCCAGGAGGCACCACGCTGCAGCAGCTGTGGCGGCGGCACCCCTCTCTCTGCGACGGCCGCCGCTACTTCCTCGTCACTCACCCTCACACGAGCAATCATGCTCACACAAGCACCGCTGCTGCTGCCGCTGCTACTCGTGGTGGTGGTGGTGGTGGTGGTGGTGGTGCCAGCGCGGCTGCTAATCCCGGTGCTGCGGATGATGCTGATGTGCTGTTTCGCCCTCAGGACGTGTTACAGGCAGGGGCTTGTTACCGCGCTGAGCCGGTTAGAGGTGAGTGCCTGTGAGAGGGGTGTGGGGACCATGTTGGTGCCAGCACTAGGACCAGCACTGCTGCTCCTAGTGTTACTGCTGATGATGCCGATGTGCTCCTCTTTCTCCATCAGGACGTGTTACAGGCAGGGGCTTGTTACCGCGCCGAGCCGGTGAGAGGTGAGTGCTGCCTCACCTTCCATATCAGCCTCTGCCTCCGTTTTCCCCTCTTTCCCCTCCCTTGCCCCTGTATGCCAGACCCCTAGCTGTCAGACCACTGCTGCTGCATGCTGTCTCACATTCATTATCCCCACTCTGCCGTTGCTGCTCTTTCCCCTCCCTTGCCCCCTCTCCAGGACCGCTTGCCTCGATGCTGGCAGGAACGACCCCTTCACAAGCTCACTCGCTGTTGGCTTTATTTCGCAAGCTTTTCTTCGCAATTGCTGCACAGCCTTAGGTTGGCTGCAAGACACAGCAGCAGCACCCACTGCAGCCACCATAGAGCTCCCAGACGGCAGCACGCGGGACGTGGAGGCGGGTTTGACTCTCAGGGAGGTGCATCGCAAGCTGTCGGACCACTGCGGCAGCAAGTTGTGTCTCGCTCCATATCCCCCTTCTGTCTCTTTCTCGCCCCTCCTTCCCCTCCATTGCCCCTTCTCCAGGGCCGCTTGCCTCGATGCTCGCAGGGGTGACTCGCGCTGCACCGCAAGCTGTCAGACCTTCCATATCCCCCCGCCCTTCCCTTTCTCTCCCGTCCCTTGCCCTTTCTTCTTTGCAGGACCGCTAGCCTCGATGCTGGCAGGGGTGCCTCAAGGCACAGCGGCTCTGTCTCAAGACCCCACTCCACCGCTCTCAACCGCCACCATAGAGCTCCCAGACGGCAGCACGCGGGACGTGGAGGCAGGGTTGACTCTCAGGGAGGTGCATCGCAAGCTGTCGGACCACTGCGGCCGGCTGGCAAAGCTCGTCCTGCTCCCTGCTGCGGGCGGCAATAGCACAGAGGGTGGTGGTGCTGCCGATGGTGGTGATGGTGCTGGTGGTGCTGCCAGTGCTGCCGGTGGTGGTGCTGCGTCAACTGCTGCGTCTGCTGGTGCTCTCAGTGATGCCGGTGCGACCACTGGTGCTTCTGCTGATGGCAGCAAATCTCAAAGCAATAGCAATAGCAACAGCAACAGCAACAGCAACAGCAACAGCAACAGCAACAGCAGCAGCAACAGTGTCACCAAGAGGTCCCTGCGGCTGCATGAGAACGATCCAGAGGTGCTGCTGCTGCCGCACGACACGGTCAAGGCGGGTCGGCGCTACAAGGCTCAGATATTCTACCGTGAGTGATAAGGGGTTATGGGGTTCAGAGGTATGTTATCGGCTGCATGAGAATGATCCAGAGGTGCTGCTGCTGCTGCATGATACGGTTAAAGCCGGCCGATGCTACAAGGCACAGATATTCTACTGTGAAGGGCTCAGGGCTCCCGTGTTACAGTTGTGCCACTGCTGCTCCTGATGACGCAGTCAAGACCTTTTAAGTCGACTCAAAAGGAGGTGATTTTTCTCAAAAGACACCCCGTGTTACAGAGGCGCCTGACCCAGTCAAGACCTCCCCGTCCTGCAGCTCACCGCACGCCGGACAACTCCCCCTGCACCGCCTGCCCTCCTTCCCCACTCCCACTTGCTCCTATCCACTTCCCAAATTTCCCAATCCTGTTCCACCCCTCCGTCTCACCTCACCCCTGCAGCTCATTGCACGTCGGACAACTCCCCCCTGCCCCGCCTGCCCTCCTTCCCCACTCCCACCCGCTCCTATCCATTTCCCAATTTTCCCAATCCTGTTCCACCCCTCCCTCCCTCCCTCCCTCCCTCCCTCCCTCCCTCCCTCCCTCCCCATCCTGCAGCCCAGCGCACGCCAGACAATTCTCCCCTGCACCACCTCCCCTCCTTTGCCACGCCCTCGTTCAACGCTCCTTCCCCCCTCGCCTCCTCCCCGCCTCCCACCTTGAAGCTTGATCCGCTCTTCGCCGCTGCTGGCGCTGCTACAGCTGCTGCTGCTGCTGGCGCTGCTACAGCTGCTGCTGCTGCTGGTGTTGCTACTGCTGGTGCGGCTGGTGGGAGTTTCAAGGTTCGCCCACCGCACTCTCCGCTTCGCCCCTCTGTCGCTCGCTCACATTCCTCCGACAATCCATCGCCAGAACTCAGCGCTGCTGCTGCTCCTGTTATCGGAGCTGCTCCTATCGAGTACAGAATCGCTGGTTACACTGTCTCTGGTAACACGGTCATGGCTCCCTTTGCTGAAACTGGTCCTGCTGCTGCCGCCGCTGCTGCTGCTGCTGGTAACCAGGTTTCCCTGGCTAGTGTTACACGCTCTCACACAGTTGGGCAGCCGGGCAAATGGGGAGGAAGCAACGAAATTCCAAAGGACCCCTCTGCAACCACTAGTACCACTGCCTCTGCTGCGTTGGGGGAGAAGGCAAGGTGGGAGGGTCAGGCTGAATTGCTGCAGCAGGGAGAAAATCAGGGCCAGAGTGGGATATTCCAAGGTGCCCTTGGGAAATTCTCACAGTTTTTCAAGTGAGGTTAGCAGCGGTTTGAGTGTGTTAAGGTTGGGCAAGAAGGAAGGGGAGAGAGCCAGGAGGAGGGTTTGGTGCAGCAGGGTGAAAACCAGGGTCAGATTGGAATATTCCAAGGGGCCCTTGGGAAATTCTCACAGTTTTTCAAATGAGATTAGCAACGGTTTTTCAAGAAGGGAAGGGAGGAGAGCCAGGAGGGTCTGGTGCAGCAGGGAGAAATCCAGGGCCAGGATGGGATTTTCCAGGGGGCGCTTTGGAGATTCTCGCAGTGAGGGTGCTAGGGTAGTTCTCAGTTTTTGTAGTGACGGTTTCGTGTTCCACAGGTTTTAGTGAACTGTCATGGTTAATACTCGATGATGATGTTAGAAAGCTTTCAGTGAGTGTAGAGAGTGATTTTTTAGGTGCGTACATGCTGATCCATGAAGTAAGGTGCTCAATGTGGGACACATCGTCTGTTCTCTAAATAAGAATGGCACATCGTTGTGCGCGTAGATTGCCTTTGTATGTCGCACAGACAATTGCACAATAGAACTGGACAAGTCCTAGTAAACTACTCACCAATATTCAGGATCAACCAGTGGGGAGCAGAGGAACACAGTCACCAAACCCTTATTGACAAAAATGATACGAGCATAGTCAAGGGTTGAAGGCAAGAACAAAACAATTGTCATGCAGATCATTCGCACCCAGCGGTATCATACATTACATAATTAAACGAAACGGGCACATAGGAGATTCTAGGGAGCCCACCATCACCATTAATGACACCAGCCTTGGTGCCCACGATGCCCATCCCTCCCATCCAAGCTGATACAGTACATATGGTGGTCTGTTCCGATGAAACGTTAGACGCAGTCCACCTACAGGCCACCAGCGTCGCACGGGTAGTTGAAGAGCTCCTTCCCGCACACACCAGGGAGCACGGACAGCCCATTCATGCAGAAACCGGTGCTGGGGTTGAGATTCGTAGGGAGGAAGAATTTGTAGTCGTCTACACCCACAGCGTTGTACTGTACAGCGGGGCTGTCGTCAGTGAGGTATTCGGTGCCCCAGATGTCCTGGCACAGATCCATGTTTTCGTTTCCGTTTTCATCGGACCAGCTGTTGAGGTTAGGGTTAACCACCGTCTCGGAAAGCACGTGGGCAAAGTTGGAAATCAGCCCGTCGAGAACTCTGTCGCCGTTGGGGTACTCGAGGCCTGCTGCCGCTGCATGCGCACACCTCGACAGGTACTGGAAGAAGGCGAGGGAAAAAATTACAGCAAGGGAAAAAATATTAATACGGAGCGACACGTAAAGCCAGTATCTTATGATTGGAAGGCTATCAAGAATTGTAAAACGGTTTTTTTCAGCTAGAAAGTTATGTTCACTCACCCTCTCAGGCATGCCAACCCACATCCACTTGATGCTCCCGCTGTAATCGTGGAATGCACAGAAGTCGCTGCCAAATCCGTCGACATCCACCTCAGCTGAAGTAAGGATGACGTAGACGGCGCTGCTGATTCGCGGCAGCGATCCCGACAGAATCTGGAAGTTGATAAGAGCCAACAGCTCGGCCTTCTTGAGTGGTTTCTGGCCCGAGGCTGACGAAGCGGCTGCGATATCGATCTCCGTGTTCTGTTTACAACAAGATGTTACAAAATGTGAGAATCTGGTAATGTAAAAATACATGTCGGCAAAAACAGTTGTCTGAATTTAGAACATGAAAACGTGAAGAATAAAATTGCGGAAACCCCTAATAGGCGACATACACTGCGGGAGACGGTGGGCGTGACGTAGGTGGCGCCGGCCTTGTAGAGGCGGTTGACGTTCCACCAATCCCTGACGCTGCCGGGCTTGTTAGCCAGCGTGTCGTCGGAAATGGAGTCGACAAACTTCTGCACGGGCGTCTTCTGCGACGCCGGCCACGTGCCGTGCCAGATGAGGTACACCTCGAGCGGTTGCGACATCACAGGGCCGCTCTTGTACGAAACGGACTTGGCGGCATAGCTAGGGACTACAACGGGGAAGAGGGAACGGGGATGCATGGGAGAGTGGGGAGCAACGAGGAAAACATGACTTTTGAGCCGAATCGGAGGTTACAGCAACAAGTTCGCAGAAAAAAAGTTAGAAGGAAACAAGCAAGCGAGCAGGCAAGAGCCAGAGCGAGGAGGCAGGTTGACTCACTCCTGCCGGTATACGTCCGCATGAACCCTCCATTCCTCCCCGAACCCGTAGACCGCGACCGCACGCCGCCGCCCCTGCCGCCTCCGCCGCCACTGCCACTGCCGCTGCCGCTCCCGCCGCCGTTGCTTCCGCCGATGGTGATGCGCACGCGAACGCCGGGAGCTGTGCTGGAGGTACCGGAGGTGGAAGCTACGCCGCTGGTAGACACCTTCGGGGACACGCTCTCCGTTTCCACATTTCCGCCCTTCTTGCCGCCCTTTTTGCCGCCCTTCTTGCCTTTCACTGCAAAATGAGGGGGGAAAGGGGCGCGGGGAACACGCGGGGGAAACACGGGAAAGCACGCGGGGAACACGCGGGGGAACACACGCAAAATCCCCACGAGGAATGCGAGAGAAGGGGTAAATGAGTTGGATATTGACAGATGGGCCAAAGGCATCAACGTAAAGGCGAGAGATGTGTGCATAGGAAATTGAAGTAAAGAGTTCAGGACGAACAAAAGATGCGTGACGAGCGGAGATGCTGGAGCTAAGAGAGCAATGACCCACGGATGGGATAATTATAGACACAGCGTGGGAAATGATAGGTCATGCGTGCACTCTAGAGCCATAGCGTAGAGAGCACAGGACCAATGGCGTGTGGAATTTCTCAGCGCGGTACAAATGTTCGAACGCTCTTGCCAGCCAGATGTATCGATAAAACGACCGAGTTTTGAGGCTCTAGGGCACCACAACCACACGTCGCTCGTTCATTACCTAGCAACGATCCCGATTCGGCTTGTCCGAGGAGGGTGAAAGTGATGACCAGAGCCACCAGTGCGAGGAGAATCACAGGTCGTCGACGAGCCATTTTGCCTTGACTAAGTCTTCTAACACGCGCGCAGATGGTTCTAGTTACTCTAGTTGCTGGTTCTACGCAGCTTGCTACTTGTTACTTGGCTCTCGTTCAGTCTGATCTCTTGGCGTGACTGAACTGGGTTAGGGAGGCTTGACAATGATGACGAGCTGGGTGAGAGGAGGGAATGGTGTTTGGTCGTGCAGGTGGGTGGGTGGCTGGAGGCTGATGGAGAAGGTTGAGCCAAACAACGACCAGGGTTCATATCAGGGAAGCATGTACAGCGCGCTGCACTTCAGGCTTCCCAAGATTGTGTGTGGTGTTTATTTCCCGAAGTCACACCCCAAAGTGTAGTGGAAGCGAGCCCATAGAAAGTGTGTGACTCCTAATCCCACACACGGACCACGGTCTGGAAAAGACGTGTTTTGGTGAGTGTGATAAACGTCTGTTTCGACTCCACTGAGTGGGGACCACCCAGGTCAGGTAGGGCGTGTTGTGGTGACTGGGCAGGAAGAGCAAAATTCTTGATTTACATAGAAACTGCCCCGTTACACTCAGACATCTGCTGTGTGTATGGTTCTTTCGGCGCGAACATGAATGTGGTCCGCGTCGTGACGTCTCGAAACAAATGGCAGGTGATGCTCAGAAGCCTCGGTGTGATAGGCCAACACCATACAGGGTTGTGACAGGCAGCAGTATTCGAAGTGGCGAAACGATTTTCCTGGTGAGCGATGGAAATTGTGGGGATTTGTTGAGGCCAGGTGGGGCGAGTGGGGTCCTGCAGATGGATAACCAGCCAAATTCACAGGTAAATCTGGAGTCGCAGGTAGCTCGTATACTCCTTTGTGTCTATGCCAGTTACGAGCTGGTTACACAGTACTGACAAACGCGACCCGTACCTGATGAGACTGACACAATTCTTCGATAACCATATACGTCTCACGCCCTGCTAATGCAATAAAAAGAAAAACGGCATAATTTATAATAAATTCGTTGTCATTTCGAATGAAACATGCACTAAGGGGGTAATAGTAAATTCGCTGTTACCCGATGGCATTGTAATATACCCAAAGCACTACCATTTGAATTTTATACACTCGAATAAATACAAATCAATTCAATACGTCTATGCGAGTATATTTTCAGTGGATGCTTGTACAATACTCTTTTGACCAGATAAGATACATGACGAAGCAGCATACATGAGGATATAAACACAAAAAGAAGCACTGGAAGTAGTCTTAGACCACTTATAAGTCATATCAGGTTTTCCATTAACAGCACCGGCACCAAGCCAAGTCGTACTCTCACGTCGAGCCGACTCGTTCGGTTCTCCACTCCATCCACCAAACAGTGCCAAGCGGTTTTCCACGCATAGCACAGTGGAGTGTCACACAGCCAGTGTACACTGCTCCACACCACACTGCCCTGCCTCCG